GATGGTGATGGTGGCTACGGAAGGTAGAGACAGAGAGATGAAGGCAATAGTGGAACAAATAAGCGACTGAGCATTGCCCTGCCTGGGAGGGGAGAGTGGAGCCACGGCCCGGAGGAACAGTCCATGGGGGGAACACAAAACAGTAGCTGGCTAGGGGATAAAAACAATGAAAACGCACGGAGTAAAGTTGGCCTAGTGACTAGAAAGAACTGGCAAGTGACTGAGGAGTGAAACCGGGTAATATAGTGAGTGACCTAATCAAGTGCAGCTGGTGATAAGGGAGTGAGGAACAGGTGAACGTGATAAGAGTAATGGGGCAAGAGACAGTAGGAAAGGTGAGGGAAGCAGAGCGGCCGAGCAAACCTGACATGATCAAATCTCTGATCAGGACACTGGTGGGGATGAGGATGAAACTGACAGTGAAGATGCATTAGAGGAAGTGTGAGAAGTGGAAGACAACGCAGAATGTGATACTGACCACGAGACAGCTGATGATTTGATGACACTGGATCCTGCTTTGACCTGTTCCTGATAGAGCTACTCAACCCCCTAGACCTAAATATGACAGACCTGGAGGAGAGACAGGTGTTCAAAGAGAGCTGGAAGGAGGTAGACTGGACAGAGATCCAAGCATTTATGGGTTTGAAAATATCCCATCCTATCTATCCTACACTTTGGCATTAAGTGTTTTGTGATCAATAGGGTAGCATAATGTTTCCTCTGGCATTTATTACAGTCAAAATAATTTATAAATAATACTGTATTTATTTTACTGAACAACTAGTAGTTTATGTCCAGCTCACTGAGGCCTGCAAAACTGCAAGTACCAAAAAGAAGGGTAAAGCCAAACATCCATCCATCCATTTTCTACCGCTTATCCAGGGTCAGGTTGCAGTGGCAGCAGGTTCATTAAGGTAGTCCAGACATTCCTCTCCCTGGCAATGTGTTCCAGCTCCTCTGGCAGGATTTCGAGGTGTTCCCAGGCCAGATGAGATATATAATCTCCCCAGAGTGTTCTGGGTCTACCCCGGGCTCTCCTACCAGATGGACGTGCATGGAAGACCTCCAAAGGGAGGCGCCCTGGAGGCATCCTGATAAGATGCCCAAACCACCTCAACTGGCTTCTTTCGAGGAGCAGTGGTTCGACTCTGAGTGCTTTCCAGATGTCCGAGCTCTGGACCCTGTCTCTGTCTCTAAGGGTAGGTCCAGCCACACTATGAAGGAAATTCATTTCAGCATCTTGCTAAACTATTTGGTGCTGAAAACAACAGCATGACAAATTTGTACCATTTTAGAAAGGAACATCTCAACCTCTGAGTTTTGCTTCTTTTCGTTTCACACTGCTAGTAACTAAAGGCTCTATTCCATTATAAAGCCTCATCCGGTTCTTTCAAACCAGGAACTCAGAGGGACGACTCAGACCACTTGAGTATATAAAAAATATAACCGTGCTGGTTTATTCAAAGAGTCACAGGCAAAATTCACATTACACGTCCAGACCTTTCTCACCCCTCTACCTGCGCGCAGGCAGCACCAGGCTGCCCAAGCAGCCCGGAAGCAGAAAAGACCCCAAACCAAGAATTCCTATACAATATTAATCATTTCTGGGCTGTCAAACCGTGACGTCACCTGATATGCCAGCTTGGCAGCTGAGCAGAGCAGTAGACAAAACATGAAGAAAATAATGTGTGTGGCTGTTGTTTTCGTGGTGTGTATCTAAAACAATTTGACATAACATTACACATTAAGACAAATATTATGGTTCCTTTTACCGTCATAATAACATTTGTCCCTGACGGCAGCCTTTCTCTGCTTTTTAACTAACCTTGCATTTAACAGCCTGAGGAAGACATCCTGGCTACACTAACATCTTCTAATACAACAGATCTCTAATCAATATCTATCTAACTAAGAAATTACCCAACATAACAATACACTTCATTGTTTGTGTTGTAAGGTCTGACAGGAGGATCAGTCAGAGCTAATGAAGCCTGTGAGGAGGTGAGAGAAAGCAGTTAGGGACAAGGTCAAAGGGGGGATGGAATGGGAACATGAAGACAGGGGTGAGAGTGTGGGTGTAGGGGTTGTTGGATGAAAAAAAGAATATTAGAAAGAGAATTAAGAAAAATGACACTTCCTCCTCACCTCCTCACTCCATCCCAGGAAGAAATAATTCCTCCTTCCTGCAGGAGGATGATACCCATGATACTGCCATTTTATCAGAAGTGTTTCAGCAGAAGATGATCATAGAGATACAATATGTTGCAGTTTGCAGTATATATGGAAATACTCCTGATGAATATTAAATCAAACTTAAAACATAACACTTCACTATTTCTATTAGATGTCTTCATCCTGCAGTTCATCTTAGAAGAATATTCCACAATTTGATATTTCTAATCAATCATCTACTAAAGGGCTGATGAAAGAATAGAGTGTTACTCTGTCTGCACCCCTTTAACATAATGCAAAGCTTTATTAATATGTGATTAATGTGAGGAGGTGCAGTCAACTGAACAGATTTCTTCACAGGATGAACAGTGGAGGCAGTAAGGTAGAAGGGGCTCTGCTTTGATCAATAACAGTGTAACCTCAGGTGGGAAAATAATTACACATGCCTTGGATCTGTACTACATGGAACTAGGAGGAGCTGATCTACACTCGGTACTGTAGCACTGCCATCAAATGGTCTGAATAATAAGATCATCAACACTTCTTGATCGTTGTTTAGATTAGCACCGCTACCTCAGCAGTGAGTGCAAGCATGGCCCAGAACTTGCAACCCTCAGTCAAATCCCAAGTTCTTCATTACTGTAGCCTCACTCCATGATGCTCTGTAATCCGCTGTCATTAGCTCCCCATCCTCAGTGAGCTAATCTCCCAGCTATCTCACTGTGCCCCTGCAACTCAGCAAGGAAATGAGGGGATGCATGCAGGAACAAAAGCAAAGCTGCAGAGTCATAAATCTGTTCCCAAACTCAATGCAGGAAACGCCTTCCTGGCAACAGCTTCTTCTGCTGCTCCTCCCCCACTTATCATCTCCCTGTCTCACTCGATTTCTTCTCATTCTTCTTACTCCTCCTTTATGTTGAGTCACATTCAGTTTTCTCTATGCCTAATATTGTAAAGTATCCATTAGTCTGTACTTTATGCCTTTTCATGTCTACAGATCACACACTTCCTTATGGCAGAATGTAAAGCATGAGGAATAGATGAGTCCACATACAGCTGCTAAGCTTCATGAATTTTATTTTTTACATTTGAATTTTGTCTTATGAGCACACTGCCCATTATCATGGTTGGTGCAATGATCATTTGGCCAAGTTGAGGTTAATTCACTTTTTATTCTAATTATTCAGGAAGCATCGCTGTGGAGGTTTAATGAAAATGGCACCAAACCTGGCCTGCTGGCTAGGTCTGAAAGGACATTCAGGGTCAAAATGTCCCCAACACCATTTTATCTTTATCTTAACATGCTTTTCCTCTGTACTTGCTTCCTTTTCACTCTTCTTTCATATTGTTTGCTTTCTTCCTATTCTGTTTTTTTGTCTTGCTCTGTGTATTTTTTCCAAAAATTGTTGGGGTTTTTTGGCTTTATATTTCAAACCCTCAGGGCCTTTTCTTCAACTGGAGTTTTAGAGCAATTGATTATACCACATTTTTATTCACCATCACTTTTCTTCCTGTCTGCACCCCCAGCACACACATTCATTCATTCATTCATTCACTTCATTCATATCTCTTTTTATGCCTTTCAGTATATCACTGCTCTTGGCAGTGACCAGTGGAAAGGGAGCCATATGTAGTACCTACATGTGTATGTGCACACACCGATGCTGATACTTTGTACAAAAAGACATAAACACACACTCTTTTGTAAAGGACTAATCCTGAGAGACAAGTGGTCCAGTCACTGTGTGAAAGTGAGACGAGAGGAGTGTTCAAGAGCGAGACACACATATTTACATCCTTTCCATCTCTTCTCTCCACCACTCTGCCATTCTCTCACTCGCTCACTCTCCTCCTTTCCCTCACACTTACACACACAGACAGACCCCCTTCTCACACAGGAGCAGACAGAGAGCGATGAAGAGCAGAAGGAGCTGGGTAGCTGTAAAGAGGCAGGAGGGTTGTTGACTGAACAAAGCCAGGAAAGTGCGCAGTCCTGGGGAGAAGAGCGGCTGTGAAATGCTTCAAAGGGAGCCTGGCAGCTACTCGTGCAGAGACCTGAAGGTAAGCCCTGCGCACCAGTGATGGAGAAAAACAGCAGTGGAAGAGACAGAGAGAGAAAACAAAAGAGGAAAGGGGAGGCTTTAAAGCCGCTGATGCATGGTATGACTGTGGCTCCATGTTCAAACTGCCTCCTCTCAGTTTGTCTGTGGATGGCGTTTCATGCTGTGATAACATTTATGTGTTTTGTTGCACAGCTACTAATCCCATCAGGAGTGGCATGGCTTATAAAATGTGTGCATTGTTTGAAGGCAGATGATACTTGAGAGCCAGATAGCTAGAAACAGAGAGATGAAGACAGATAGCAAGAGAAGAGATGAGACAATGCAACACACTTCTAGAGCAAGAGAGCAGAAAACGCAAAGCGCTGATGGGAAAAGTAGCTGGATTATCCTCGTTCACCAGCTATAACCTTTATCATCACATCTTGGCTCCTTCATCTTATGTTACTGCAGAGATATATCCTGTAGATCATCATCACGCAGCTCCTTATCCTCATGGAGAGGACAAGGTAATCACTGGATTTCTCTGACGCAAGCAAGGAAAGTCCACTCAGTGCGTCGCTGTTTGTGTCTACTTGTGAGCTGTGCTGTAGTTCCTTCAGTGCAATGCAGGAGTTTTACAAGTGCAGCAGCAGGAGCAATGCTGGAGTGAATGTGCATCTATCTTTGTGTTACTGTAAGTGTGTGTGTGTGAAGGAGAGGGTCGTTGTACTGCGAACACACAGCACTGCATATTTCAGCTTTTAAAAATTTTTATACATTCAATAAAACTGGGCGATAAAGCAGTGGATGAGGGGTAATGATAGCTGTTGGTAGCAGAATTTTCATGAATATTGTAGGCTACACCAAAAGCACTGAGAGAAAATCATTTATACGATTACCTTAAAGCACTCTATGGACTGAGGATTAAAGCTGATTGCCGTAATGATGTACATCACTATTTTCTCTTCTACTGTGGCTCCAGTTCATTGCACGCTGCAGGACACACATCTCAGAAGTTGTTACTGTAAAACTTTGATGGCAATGCAGTGGGCTTAGCAGCTGCATTACTCAGGCTTTTTTCCAAAGCTCCTCTCCTTCTGGGTATTGTCTCATCAGAGAACGTTAAGACAGCGTCAAGGCAGCGCGTGGACTCAGTCATCTGTTTATTTAATATGTGTTCTCAGGCACAATATGGAGAATATCTGCTGTCATAATTAACCACTTTGTTACATACAGTACATTCTGAACTCAAACCCTTTGGAGTCAAAGGAGTCAAATAGTCTGACCTGTTATGACTCTGCACAAAGGTCACAACAAAAAGGAGGGAGATGTACTACTGAAGTAAAAACACTTCACTAATATTTGCTAAATTAAATAATAAAAGGCAAGAATGAGGTGTGGAGATCAGTATCAGTAATGTGATGTGCATAGTGTAGGTGCAAAACAAAACCAAAAGGTTAACTCAAGCCAAACAAAACATGCTGTGTGTGTGGAGATAGGCACCATGAACCAGGGACAGACAGTTCAACTAAATTTACATTGCACACTGATTCCTATTGTACACAAGTATGATTCAGTTTAACATACAAATTAAACAGAGGACATTCAATACATGCAAACTTCATTTTGAGCATTTGAATAGAAGTGATGTTGTTCACTGCTGCAGTATCACTAGGATGTACTGTAGGAAGCAAACACATTCAGGTCTACTGTACATCTGGAGGAATTGCTTTGTTGATGCTGTTGTTGTTTTATTAGGTTTTACAAAAGCATGTATGAAGTGTGAGTATCCACCATCTGCTGTAGAGGATACACATCCTCATACATTTGTAGCTCATTAGCTGAGATGGAAAAGAAATATAATGTATGGCCAGTAAGGCCTGAGTGACTGCATGGATATTTTTTTTTAATTCTTAGTTATTTATTTATTGTTTTTATGATTGCAGAGAATGAGCTTTTTTCAGCAACAACTTGTGTTATAGGCTATTTACAGAGCTAGGACTCATTCACACCACGTCATCTACTGTCAGCAGTAGAGGTTTAAGGACATCTTGTCAGAAAATGGACTGAACAGAGGGTGTGTTGCTCAGGTGCTGTGCCCAACAAGCTGATGTGAGGCTTTTTAACATGCAGCTGTTGAATCATAATCTCATTTTATTCGGACTTGGTATGTGCTGATTTAGAAAAGCAGGCTCCTCAATGGGCCACGCACAGGGGCACAGTGAAACATGTCTGGAATTCCAAACAGGACCATTTGACCTTTGGCTCCTCTAGCATTCACCATGCACTGCCTGGTCTGCAGCTCCACCCCACTCTGCTCATGGCCTCCCATCGTCTCATGCCATCTACAGTGAGCTGAAGCAAGAGCATAATGAACCTCATGCAGTAAAAATAGGGTCAAGTATGATGCAGAGAACTTGTGGATCTGAATTATAAACAATTAACTGATTTGTTTGGTGTAATATTATTGTAAAATCATTCTCTTTTTGCTCTCTAATTATTATAATACTCATCTCCACATATAATTTATTCTTTTCCTTAGCCACTTCTTTACTGCTATGACAGAGTAGTGGCATAAGGACCAAAGGATCTAAAGACATAAATCACAGGAGCCTGAGGGATAGGCCTAATAAGGACAAGAACGTGCTGGAGAGCATTCCCAGCCTCACACATCTCTCTCTCCATCACATCTCTCATGCTTCAGGCCAGCGTGGTTGAAGAGGGTGTTATCTAGCTTCAGCAGGTGTTGGGTTTAAATCCCATTACTTCCACCACTTCCACTTTTTAATATTTTTGACATGTTCATCTTAGTAGAGGACAAAGCAAGGTCTGAAACATGACACGACACAACTGCTATTTTTGGTTTGAACAACTGCACTTTTTTCCAAGGATGTGTACAAAACATACTGCAAGAAGGCATTTGAATGTATGACAGTGAGATGTGCTGTATGAGTGTATGCGTGTGAGTTAGACGTATCATTAGGGAAATTGTTTCTCAAGTGTGATTAGAACATCTCACTGCAGCAGTGTCACTCCAAAGAAGGTCATCCATGAGAAGGACACAACTCAGCTCACTATCAGGCATAATGGAAAATGGGGGGGAGGGATGGTATGAACTTTGTGCGTGTGTGGGTGTTGTGACTGTTTGTTTGTGTGTTTCCTGGGCCTAGGGCCAAACTAGCTAGGGACGGTTTTAGTCATTTGACCCACCTAACCTCAAAGTGTCATAAGTGAACAGCGACAGGGATGAAGCAATGTTATTTTATGGGTTGATTTTAGCCTGGAACATAATCATGACAGGCCCAGTAACCATAACTCTTTGCTTTTACTCAAGGGAATGAGGGAAGGAGGGCAGAGAATCAAGGAAATTCAAAGTTCTAATGCTTCCATAGCCATGGAACAAAGAGAGCAGATACTGTAAGCTGTAGCATATCTTCCAGCGTACACTGGATATCTGTTTGATGCAGTGATTTGGTAAATTTATTTGATTTTCAGGACTCTTAAAAGCTCAGCTCTGTTGCAACCTTTTCCTTTCTTTCCTGTCTTCCTATTTTTCTCTCCCTCTTTCTTTCTTTTTGCCTATGTTTCTCTGTCCCACCCATATCAGTGATGTATTTGATAAACTGACAACAAAATGCTATGACCTCAAAATCTATGGATGAGTGCCCAGTAATAGTCAGATTTTTATGGTAAATTAAAGGATACTGCTGAGTTTGCAGCATCTTGCTGCTATTTGAAATACTGTCTTGCAGAGCTGCAGGGCTACAACCTAAAAGAGAAACCATTAAAACATAAGCACTATTGCCAGGTGAGAGCCTGGACTAGAAGAGTTACTAAAATACAATGTTAGATAGATTTAAACATACTGCTGATTTTTTTTGTTCCTGAAAACCTAACAATGTGGAGATGCAAACCTTGTACCTGACAGTCACAAGCAACATTCTCAGCATTTGCAAAACAAGCACGTTCGTGCAAATTTCAAGCTGGAAACAGTGTTTCTTCACAGCAGAAATGCTAAATTGATCACCTCCATATAAAGGGAAATTTAAAAAAATAATCACACAGTGAACCAATTTACAATTATGTTAATCAAGTGAGAATTATAATTCAGGCAGTTACTGTGTTGCAGGGGCTTTATTACAGCAGTGATTAGTATTGATAAACCTTCTCTTGGCTCAGCTCCATTTGAGCTCTCACTATTCACGACTGCAAACAGAGCTGGCAGCACAAGTCTCTAAAGTTCTGCAAATATAGAAAATTACAATTACAAATTAAAATTACAAAGGAAGTACTATTCACCACAGTTCAGGCTTTAGGGGAAAATAACAGACCTTGCCACAATTTAGACAGGAAGAAAAACGTCATATTTTGCTGTTCTCTGTGCAGATTATTGTTTACAGTGTGTAGTGTCAGCAAATAAGGAAAATATACTGTAAATATTCCTTAAGAAGCAAGTTTCCTGGTTTATTAGTACCTCTTTGCTTTGAGAACAAGAGATGAGTGATTTTGTTATCACAAGACAACACAATTCAGCCAAAGCATCCTGTCATTCTCCAAGCAACAAGATAAATGCTTGTTACCCTCTTAAAGCGCTAAGATAAAACCCCTCATCTGGTATCCATGTTCGAACACCTCTCATTTGGACTTGTTGAGTCTGCTGCTACAAGCAGACAGCAATCACAGCCTCTCTGAAAATACACAGGGGTCAAGAGTTCACAGATCCCCAGGGAGTTGTGTTTAATAATTCATGAGAGAACCTGAAATGACTTTGCAACCTCTGTTTTTTGGAAGCTTTGTGTGTGTCCCGCACCTCTGCTGTCAGTCTGTTCGTCTTCTCCCTGTTTTAATGCTTGTCACGCCACTCTGCCCTTTGCTTTGTACCATCAATGTCAACACCACATTCCCGCGTGGATCTGATTTGTGACGCAGTCCTTTCACTTCTCTACGCTCGCCTTTGCATTCCCTCTCCTCGCTTGTTAGTGATCAAATAGAGTAATGTCAAAGACAGATGAAAAAGAAATGTCAGATGTTGTTAAGGTCAAGAACCAACGGTAAAAGTAATTTACCTATGTTCTTGTGCTTGATTTGTTACAAGGCCCCGTGTCACCCATTATTTAAAATAAATTAAAAGTAGTTGATTTTCAGACAGTACCTAGGGGCTCTACATGTTAATTGCTTCTTGTGGAGCTCAAAAGGTGTTGTTAGATTGGTGCTAAAATTAGGGCTTTATCTGCCGGCCACACACTCATACCCCCACTCCCCTCAATAACTATAGCATGGCTGTTATTAAACCCCACATCACTCAGGAGTCATTGAAAGTGTTCCTTTTCTACTTCTCCTGTCGCTTTGGAGATACATCAGAGAAGCAGAGAAACACTCTTTATTTTTATCTTTACCTTATCACATCACACATACTGTACACTGTCAGCACATCACCCGGTCATTCCAGTGGAGCTAAAAACAGCCACAAAGACAATGTGTATTTTATATTAGATTAAAGGTAAAGTAAAGGAGGAAACTCTTATTTTTCTGTCTCCAGCTGATTAGGAAAGAAATCACTGCCTATAATCTGAAGGATGATGTGGCCATGGTCGTGCAGTGCATGAGCAGTGTATCTGTGTGCATGTGTTTGTCTGCATGTGGGGGCATGTAGCCAAAGCAACTGACAATGCTGGCAAAGACAAGCTTGTACTTTGGGAAAACGATGCTGTTAAAAACATTGCAGCTGAGCCTGCTTCATTATACAGGCAAATTAACCAGTAATGGGCACTGGGTCATCTCCCACATGATGTGTTGTCAGCTTAACCTTTACTTAGTAGCAATGCTGCACCTTTATCATCCTGTTTTATTATATTTTGCATATACAGCGGCTGTATTTATTTATTTTATAGTAGTACTGCATATTTTATGTATTTTTCTCCATATACAGAATGCTGTGAGTTGTAATATTGTGATCATATTGAGCTTCAATAAAATTTTAATTTTAGCATTTATGTGTTAATATTTATTTCAATATGACTGTGTTTTTACAGGTTAACCTGCTAATGGTTGATCAGGTGCTGCGTATGTGAATACATTATCAGATATGTTTTTGCCAAACACATTTTTGAGTCATATCCTTGTATGTGGTTTGGTTTAGACAACAAAAGCACATTTTGTTTTGTGATCTAGTTATTGTGATTAATATTTCACTGCATAAGTGAGAGAGAACTTTGACCTGCTAGTGGTGCTACGCAAAATGCTAATTCATTTGAACTTTTCCTCAATGGACCTTCAGGTGCTGCAGACCTACTATGACAGTCCATCCACTCTGAACCACAAATGTCATTCTGTTGGTGGCACTAAAAGAAAAGTCAGGGAATCACAAAAGGCAGCAGGAGTCTTCCTCTGTCACGGCAATTCATGTAATTAATCTCAAGATATTCCGATTACTATAGGGCCAAAGTGACGCACCGACCACCTGACCGACACTGTTATTGCTGGAGTCATGCTGCCAGCGACTAAAACGTTCTGTCATTATCTTGATAAAAATCACAGGAGGTTGATTTATGTTACATGCTTTGCAATGACATCAATGTTTCTCTATCGGTGGAATTAAACTGACAGTTTCACTTATTTTAAAACCTTGAAACTTACATTTATGGAAGTGAAAGTACACTAGTAGTACAGTATATGAGTATGAATAATCACCAAAATTAAAGTACCATGTAGAATTTAGTCAGGGTGCCATTGGTTTTTGGTAGAAATACCCTCAATTCTTCTGAATGACCTCTACATTATAGATGTTCGAGAGCTGTGCAGTAGCCCCAAGAACCATTAATCTTAAAATTTAATTGTCTTGCATATGATTTGCATTCATATCCTCATTGGTTTCATGCATAGTGGATGAATTACATTGTAACTAACTGAAAAATTGAATGACAATCTATCATATAGTGGGGAAGTTCTCAATCAAATACATCTGACAAATAGAGGCTTGCCTGTTTTTTATTTATTTATCTACACAGCTTAAAGTTTGTCTTTATTATCTGGACAGCTGATAACAGCACAGTGCTGGCTGATGTACAAAAGTGGTAAAAAAAAAAAAGTTTTATTATTTACATACTTTATATTACAACATTATTCCTGGCATTTTTAATGTAGATGCTATCGCACAAACGGCAGCTTCCACCTACTTCCCTGGATGTGCCAGTATGGCAAATATATAGAATAAATAATCTAAATATTAAAATCAAGATAAATGCAAGCGTCTTATTCTGGTTAAGATTTGATTTTTTTTTAATATATAGATCAAGCTACCAATGTTGGTTTCTGTGGGTTCTGATTAAAGCTCATGCTGCTGGTGCCAGTGTCAATGAAATTTCTACATCATATGGCAAATATGTTTCATAAATCATAACTTGGATTACTGTCTTATATCTCATAGGCATTGACCTTCAGCTGAGGATGGCAGGAGATTCTCGAGTCCTGATGGACCACAACATGGAGATAGGAGTGACATCTGCACAGGTACAGTTAACCACACAGCCACTATCAGTCAAAAACTACAACCTAGTGATCAATACTGTCTTTCTACAACTGGACAATGTTGGTGCAGTGGTAGGGGTTCACTGAGAGAGTCGAGGAAATAAAAGAGATGGAAAAGATTTATAGGAATGGGATTGATTAGTAGGGATGGAGCTACTATGTGGTATGTGAGTGAGAAAGAAAAACTGACAGATAGCTTTCAATGATGGTAGGAATGAGGAAAATTTAAAGGCTGTTGGATGCAATAAACAACAGCCCAATCTCACAGCAAAATGTATAATAGCTACACTGGTCCACAGTGTAAAACACAGTAGTGTCACGGCTGTAAAATTGTGACATGGTGGCATTTGTTGTATCGCAGCCCAGTGTCCTTCTTTGTGTTCTTCTTGGTGTTTTATGGTGGCTGTCAAACAAGGAAATGGTCCAACAAACATCTGACTTTCATGCAGAGAACCGGAGACTGAGTCCTGTGTCCGATGTTGTGCGACACTGTGGGGTCAGTGAGGTCTTTTTCTAACCTTAACCATGTAGGTCATTTACTTTTGGCTTTGCTGTCAGAAAGATACTGTAATTCAGTTTACTTGGTAGTAGAGAGAGATAAATGAGGAAAGACACCCTTTTTACTCTCACTAATGGATGGTGGAGTTGTACTGGTATCCTGATTCACCAGTTGACTGGAACTTATATTCCCAAGCATGGTCAGATGGGTTGAATGAGAGAAAACACTCACCACTTACTACTGCCACTCAAAGATGACTCATAAAATTGTTGATGGACCATCCCCCCCAGGGACCATACTCATTACAAAGGCCAGAGATAAGGCAACACTACTTGTGACACCTTCTTCCTGATTCACCTCAGCCCAAATGATGAAAGTGAATGGGTCTGTTTTAGTTGTCTTTTATTGATAAGGTGGTGTAGCCATGATTAACAACAGTTTTTTAAAAAGTTGTCTGCATGATATTGTCAGTAGAAGGTTTGACTCAAAGAAATGGTGAATTGAGTGTGTCCTGAATCTGTAATTGATCCAATATCCTTGAGTACAGCTGGTAATAAAAGAGCCTTTTGACATTTGGTAAGTGCCTTGTCATCAAGCCAGTAATTGCAATGTGGATCAATAAGCATCATCTTTCAGTTGTTCTTTATCAAAATGTTCATTAAACAGGGATCACTTCAAATTGATCCGGTAAACTTATTACATACAGGTGTGACCAAATGTGTGTGTAGACAGGATAACAGTGAAACAGCAACTGATATCTTAGTTAAACAACCGGGTCTGACAGATTTTATTATCCTGGCTCCACAAGTGAACGCACTGCAACGGTATTTTAGTACCTTAAATTATGTCCTTCCTCAAATGAACTGTGAGAGAGGTCGCTTTTGTGATAGAGCAGAGGAGCAGTCAGTGGAAGTACAATATAATGTAATGTTCCTTGATGGTGTGAGCATGACTCTAAAGAGGATCACAGACACAGGAACTGTCTTCTGTGTCCCAGACTTGATACGATGCATTTCAATTATCATCTCAAATTGGAAAGTGTCAGTGTGCTTCCAACATGTCCTTAGTCTGTTTAAAAGCTGCCGTACAACATTGTCTTTCTGTGTGTGTGTGTGTCTTTCTGTCATGTGTGCATGCGTCTGCCCAAGATGAGGGCCAAGCAACTCAATACCTTCTGCATAGTCCCTGTAGGAATATGTCACCAGACTGTGAAGGTTTTGTTGTTTTTCATAACCCTAAATGCCCTTAAATATGGACTGAATGGACTCAGGGCCCCAAAGGATAAGGGGGTCCCTGGTCCAGAGCCTCCTCTCTTTGAAGTGACTGTTAATGTTTCTTATTTCTTGTTGGAAAAGAAAAAGATACAAAGTAACCACAAACAGATGACAAAAAATAATATTTGATTTGATTTGATTTGATTTATTCTTTCAAGCATGTAAAAACAGTTGATATGTCAACACACATAATTTTACACATATCCAACAAATGTTAATCCAATATCAATTTGCTTATACCTAGTACATGCTTGAATGGAGTAGGAAGAAGTCAGACTTATCCAGTCCTACCCCCTGACATCAACTTACCATCATTGGTTTGCAAGCAGTATCTTTACATAAAAATTTTCTTCTACACCACACAAGTAATATACTAAAGAATTATTACAAAGTGTTAACATTCTTACATAATTACATTCTTAAATAATTATCTTCTACACCACACAAGTAATATACTAAAGAATTATTACA